AATATCTCAAAAACTACTAGAGATAGGTATAGTGAACTATTAACAAAGTCTATATAAATTTAAACAAAGAAACCGAAAATGTATTTAAAACCTTATATCAGTAGAAAGGGCTTTCAATTTTGCATCGAACGGTAACATTTATTATGGGTCATTCCATTTGAAAAAAAAAGTTATTCGTCTTGTAAGATTGTTAAAAGTAGGTTTCGATATTTCTTGCTTTGAATAACGTACACATTTCAGCCATAGCAAAAAGGTTACGGGAATTCGTCCTAAAATGAACTGTCCAAACCGCAGGTTTTTAGCTTTTATGGTTTAGATGCTATTTGGTCTCATTCAAAGAGCTAAAATTATGTTTTTTTTCAAAAACAGTAGAATATCTCAAAAACTACTGGAGGTAGGTGTAGGGAATTATTAACAAAGTCTATCTAAATCTAAACAAAGAAACACACCAAAAATGTAAAAATGTGTATATAGGGTGTTCCATTTAAAATAACGAAGTTAGGTAGTGTCCAGAAGAAATGGAATACCCTGTATGACTGAATGTATTTTCTGTATATGCACCATACGAATCCAGGCCACTTATATAAAACATTCTTTTTATTAAATGTATAATAACTTAGTTATGGACCAAACCATCTTAGGTGGAACACCCTGTACCTGGGCTTTCTGTAAAATTTAAAAAATATTTTTCATGAATATTTTGTTTTTCTCATTAACAATTACGTATATAATAATGATCATAAAATATGTTGTTTATAACTTAAAGAGGTAACTTATTGTTATATTTTTATAAAAAAATTTAAAGATAACTTGAAAAATCAACCCTTATAACTTTTTAAAATGAATTCCATGTTTCCTAAACATGATAAACCTACGAAATTTTTACTGGAAAGCTCCTTTATCATACTCTACAACATATGTTTAAAGTTCATTTTTTATTTTTCCATTTTTTGAAAAGGAAAATACCCTTCTACCCACATATAATATTTGGGTCGAAATATATGTTGTATTGAAAGGGCTTTCCAATAAAAATTTCGTAGGTGGATCATGTTTAGAAAGCATGGATTTAATTAATTAATTGGGTCTCTTATGGTGCTCTTCCATGCTACTAAAACAAAAATTGCGCCGATGTTACTGCATCAGAAATAAAGGTGCTGGAATTGAGGAAACCTCAAATAGTATCTAAATAATAAAATTATTATCGGTGGTGTGTACATTCCTTCTAGAAGTGCGTGTGAGAACGAAGAACATGTAACATGCTTATTTTAATTGGAATGCTATATTTTTCATGACATTTTTAGAATCACCTAACGTTTCTAGATCGACTTTGATTATACAACTCTGTCTGAAAAATTAGTAGTTTTCTGAATACTTTGAGTTTTCTGAAAATTACATTCCCATGTCAAATAGCGGATTATTCAGCTAATTTTGAAACTGCCGTCGTCATATTGGGTGATCAGCTATCTCGTACCTATCTATATATCTGGCATTGTGCCCTTAGTAATGTAAATGTATACAGGATGTTGAAAATGTCGTGTCCAAGTTACAAAACTTCTAACATGTTTAAGTATTTTTTTCAAATGGAACACGCTATATATTATCTCGTCGGTGAACGTAGAATTGAATTTTGCGTCGATTGATATAAGGATTCTCTATACCTATCTGCAATAGTTTTTGAGTTATAAGAAATTTTTGAAAAAAGCCTACATTATTACGTTTTTAAATGCTTCATCATATTAGGCAAACATTGTTCTGCAGCGCTCTGTAATGCTGCATAATTGAATATTTGAAATTTACAATGGAACTTTAAATTGAGAGGGATATGTAGGAATACTAAGAAGGATTGTGTCTGCTGATTGTAATTAAAGGCCCTCGACTTTTTTGTAAAAAGTATGGTGTATGTTGTTACCTCTCTAGAACTAGAAGCAGGGGTAAGAAGAACATTCAGGGAATTAGACCCAATTCAAGTGGATTTCTTCAGTTGTGTGCTGCATTAATTGGCATAATTGTTCTGTTCGTTCTACATTTTTAAATCTTAAGGCTATCGAAACTAATATAAAACACCTGACAGCATTTAAGAACGTAATAATATGTTGTTTTTTTTCAAAAATTTTTATTATAGATAGGTATAGGGAATCCTTATATCAATCGACGTAGGATTCAATTTTACGTTTACTAGTGAAATAATATACAGGGTGTTCCATTTGAAAAAACAACAAGCGTCTTCTACGTTTTATACATTACACGGTCAAACCGGACCTTAATTATGTTTTTCTCGAAAACGGTGGATCTTCAGACATATAAATGTTTACCGTGAAGTGGGGTGAGATTGATTTCACAGGGCGAAATTGATTGCCCGGGACTGTTTCGAGTACATTCAAATTGTAGCGCTACGTTGATATTTGCACCCACCAAGTTACTGGCATTTTTAGTGCTAGTATGTCACATGCTGATTTAATCGGTTTGAACGGTGTTGAACTCTGCCATTTTTGACAGTGAGCCAAAGTGAACAGTGAAAAGTCGCTCATTTTTATGGGTGAACAACTTTTAATAATTGGGAAATAGTTCACACTTATTCAGCACTGTGGGCTCTAGAAGGAGATACTTCCATTTTTTGGGAAGGTTGCCTTTGAATTTATAGGTTAGTAAATGTTTTTATTTGTATATAATGACTTCGTAAATATAATGGGGTGAGATGGATCATACGAACCAACAGATGATCAATCTCACCCTGGTCCCTGCAAATCAACTGCTCCATATGAATAAATTAGTGAAATTGCTCTTATTACTGCAGATTGGTAGCAGAAGTTACGGAAATTTTTCACAAAAATAAACAGAAAATACTCTCAAAGACATAAATGGCGTCTTGTCTCTGCGTGCAACTGCCAGTGTGGTTTATGGTACTCTTCATAATAGATTTTATGGCCCAAGAAATAAAAGTGGTGGGCAAGCAGCATTGACTTCCAAAGAAGAACAGGCAATTTTGACCAGTATATTCAAATGCTCCAACTGCGTTTTTCCCGTAACACCATAAGATGTAAAAATGCTCAGAAAATTATTTGGATAAAACCGGAAATAAATAAATAAATAAAATCGTTTCTAGGGCAATTTGCCGAGCCCTGACTAGATCAATAGCTTTTTGAAAAGACATCACAATGCCTCTGAAAACAATTTGCCTTCAACATTTGTGTTAAACGAAGTAAGGTGACCCCTTGTTATGAATTAAAGACTATTCCAATAATCTGCGTGAGATACTGGAAGGAATTCCACCTGAGAACTTCTCCAACTATTACCAATCCAATGTTTCGGACGATCCAGGCAAGAAGTAGTGCATTTATTGTAGGGGTACAAAATAGCCGGAATAAGTCTGTAATCAATTGAAATCCGCAACATCCTTAATGACATTGCTATTACTCCCACCTTACTTGATATACAATGCTGAATTGTTATGGGATACGTGGACAACAAAAGGGCTTGAAGGGTATCCGTGTTGTGATTTGCTGTTTCGGGGGAGTCCCATACAAGCTTACAAGTCACGGATAGATATGTCCTCTTTCCACTAATGGTTTTCTACGTTTCCTGCCACACTTACAATGTCAGTCATTCATGTCATTCATTTTGCATGCACATGTACAGTTTGCAGTTCTGCTGGTGACTCATTTCACTATTTATTTGCTAGACTATATATAAAATTTACTTGACACTGTAAGAAGAATGCCATCCACTTGACATGTATAAATACTAACACAAAATATTGTTTAATTAAAAAAAGATGAAATTTCATAAAAAAAAGTATTTTTATTAATTTATTTATTTGAACATAAACCTGAACAATATAGGAAATATATAGGGTATAGTGTTTATAATCAATAGAAAAAAAAATAAGGCTGTTAATCCGTTAATTGCACCCGTTTTTTATGCATTCATTAGCTACAGGTTTCTCCTAGTTTTAACTCATTTAATTTTTACCTGGTTTATACTTGATCATAGCATATACAAATTGTACTGGGAGAATTGTTCTGTCGTTTTCCCTATGTTTTAACATTTAAACGGTTAAAATTCCGA